TGTCATATATATTATATCAAATATAGTATAAGATATCTATATACTATAGCTATAGCTCCTAAAACATAATATATATACCTACCTATATACCTATAATATAATTTATACCAAACTAGCACTACTATGACTTAATTATATTATTTATATAGTACTATACCTAATGCATACCAAAATAATTATACTATTAGAATATATATATATAACAGCTAGTCATAATTAGAGAAACATATATATACTATATATATATATAAATATACTAGTATATATATTAATATAACTATACAAATATATCAATGTGTGTGTGTGTTGTGTCGTGTGAGTTATGCATACCTATAACTATACCTTACCTACTATACATATAATATTATACTAATAATATATATAATATATATATAGTATAATATATATTTACTTTGTTCTAACTATATATATATATAATATATATCATGTTTCAACAACAAACACCATAATATATTATTCTATATCTACAGTACCACTATAATTTATCATCATATTATATAATTATTTATAGTTTTACACTATAATATATTTCATATGCTATAATGCGTATATATAATATATATAGTACTCACTATACTATATATAATATTATATATATACTACAACTATACTAATTATAAAAGTATATACTATATATATTTATAAACAGATATACTATATAGATATATATAAATACTATATATAATATATAGATATATACTATATTATAATAAACTATGTATTATATACTGTATATATATATATATTATATAACTAGTATAGAGCCTACGCTGATATACTATACTATTATATTCTACGTTACCTCAATAATACTACACACACACACAACACCACACACACACACACACACACAAACAACACCACACACACACACCACCACACACCACACACACACACACACACACACACACACCAACACACCACCACACACACACAACACACAACACACACACACCACACACACCATCACCACACCCACACACACACACACACACACATATATTATACATAGCTATACTATATAATTTATATTTAATCTCATCTAATATATATCATTACTATATAACTGTAATTAATAAGGGATATATACGTAATATTCATAAATATAATATATACCTTACTATATATATCCATTAACTGCTACTATAGTACTAGTAATACGATATATATATGTATATAGTACGTAATTAGTATAATATTGTATATTACATAATTAATACTATATATAATGATATATATCTTATATTCGCTAATATAATATTATATTTATATACTCATCAATACTATATATATATATAAACTATATAGCTAATATGTTTATATATATATTATTTGTACCCCTATAATATTTATATGTATATATATATACTTAACATATATACTAGTATAATATATATACTAATATATAGTATATATATATAATACAGATACTAATATACAACATAACATATAATATATAATATACCTTACTATATACTATCTCTATGATTTATATTATATATATACATATTTAATGTATATATTCATATATATATATTTAGTAAGATATAGTATCATATATATATGTATGTATGTATGTTATGTGTTGTACTTTATATATGTTATGTATGTATTCATGTCATGTTGTATGTATGTATGTGATATATATACTACTTATATATATTATATAATACTATATTTATTATATATATACACAGTCAGTATTTATCTAATAATACATCTATAATATATATACATCTTATATTATTACCATTACTATACTATATACATAATACGCATATAGTATATTATATCATACTATATTATTTACTTGATATTTATACACACAACCTACATATCAATTATACACATTATCTACTAACCCCTAAATCTATACCATAGACAATACATATAGTATATATAGATACCAGATATAGTATATACTACTATCTAGTATATATATCATATACGTATATATTTATATAATATGCATCTATATAATACATTAATATATAATATATATATAACGCCATATTGTATAACCTATAATATATCATAACATATATCTTACTACTATACTACATTACTATAATATACATTATACCATACATATAATATATATACATACTAGTATATATAATATATAATACTATATATTACTATACTACTATATACGATATTATATGCACACACACACACACAACATATATTATCCTACTAATATATACTATATATTATAATATATATATATATATAGTATATATTATATATTACACATATTATTAATACTATAGTATACATATATATCATCCACATATGATACCATACATTATATATGTCATACTAATATATTACATACTACAATACACTACTATATTAGAATATACCATAATACCATATATATATCATATATATGATACGTACATCGCTATAAACTATATTATAAATTTCCACGATACCTCACTATATAATCGTACTATATTACTTATGTATCCTCATATCATATGAGTCCCACGTCATAGTATGACTAGCTATATACTATGGTATTACTTAATATATCCAGTACCAATACGTATATTATATATATGTACCATACTAATATATAGTACCTAACCCAATATATTATATATCATACTTATATATTGTAATTATAATATATATATTATATGTATATACTATACTTATATAGATATATATACTACATATATGTCATATTGCTGAATATTGTATATTATATACATATAATATATATATTAATATAGTACTTTATATACAACACATATATATACATATCATATATTACATAATATCTAATCACACTTATAAACTATACAATATACCACTATATATGCATACATATAAACCATTATACTAGTCCTACACTCATATTAAGTAATACAATTGCTTTAACAACTATCTGCTAGATAATCAGTATGCAATATATCTATACATACCAATAATTATATATCACATCATATATATACATATAAGGGCTGTGATAGCATGGGTGGGTATTACATATTCTATATGTATCACATATATACTATATATAGCATATATATACACATATCTATATACATATCTATACTCAATATACCATTACATACATACATAATTATATTATACTAATAATTAATTTTATTATAACTTATATTATATACTAAAATATATATATATATATATAGAACCATATCATATACACCATCCTATACTATATATATATTATACCTATAACCTAACTATAATATGCTTGCCACCTTATATACCGAACAGTATAAGAAGTATAATTTATATAATATATACTATAGCTAATCATACTACACTATATATATACAAATATATATACTTATACTATACTATATACCATATATATATATATAGTATATATATGCACAACCACACACACAATAATACTTAATAATATATATACTATATCTAATATATATATTTATATATATATTATATATATTAATAGTATAATACTAGTAAGTATACGTATATATATTATTAATAACATACTATTATATATAAGTATACTATACTATATATATATATAAAGGTATTACATATTATATCACTTTATATAATATATAATATAAATGTATATATATATATATTACAGATATATATAGACATATACTACATATATATATACAATCTTTATATATACAAATATATATATATATATATATATTTTGATATATAATATGCATAAATTATGTGCTCTATAATATATACTATACTACTAACCTATAATAATATCAGCTACCCTATATATGTATACATATATGCTATACTTATATATATATGTGTATATATATATTATATATACACTATAATATATATTATAATATAAGATACGTATACTATATTGTAGTGCTGTATCACCTATTACCCTCATACAGCTATAAATACTATACATATTATACTATATTTACCGTATCAGTACTTATTATCATGATATATGCCTGTACTATACTAGCTATTATCATACTAATTACTAATAATTATTATACTATTGTATATAGTTACTATATATAGGACTTCACTATGTTATATTCTATATATAATAATAATAATACATAAATAGTATATATGCACGTTAATTATAATAATCACACCCACCACCCTCATAGATATCTATCACTATACATATATAATATATACTATATCACTACATACTGTATATGATCATACTATACATATATAATATTATATACTATCAGTATAATTATACCTATATACTATGATATATGTACGTATATATATACTATCAGTATAATATTATATAGTTATATCTTAGTTACATATATACACTACATTATAATATAATAGACCATAGTATATATAATATATAATATAATATATATAGACATATATACTATAGCTATACTATCCCTATATACTACACTATATTACATATATTACACCGAACTTATCATATATCTTATCCATATATACTAATATATACCCTACTCTATCTATCTACTTACGATACCAGCTATATCTACGCTGTCTAACATAATTATACTACTATACAATACTACATATATAACTACTACTATACTATACTATACTATAAGCTACTACTATATATATACTAATTATCTACTATATATACTACATCTTTGTCGACGCCTCGTCGATGTCACCGCTCCATATGTGTGCTGCACGTTGTGTGCACACTACCAACTATTTTGTGCATGAACTGCACCTATCCATCTCCTTCTCGCCCACAGCTTGCAATCTTTTACTCCTGTGTAACACTACTCGTGAGCTCGATTGCCTGTGTGTGCTCCTTGCCACTCAACACTGGTGTGTGTGTGTTATGGTGAACGTGGTATGTGCTGATGTGTGTGTGTGCTAATATTTAACTATCAATATACACTACACGAGCACACTATATGTATATGAAGGCCACTAGAGATCTTTCATGATGAATTGGCTCCTTTCCATTTATGCTAAAACAAAATAATCTTCTCTTACCACTCATACCTTAGACCTATACACATTCAACTCTCCCTTCTCTGCCCTCTCCTTCATGCTCCTTCACGCGTGGCCGATCTCCCGCACGGTGAGACGACACTTCTACACTGCAACACCAGAACCCCATCTAAACTCGACTAGCCCTGTATTACTCCACGGCTCACACGTCTCCCACCTCGGCAATGGCTCAGCTTAAAGTGCTAGTCCTTCACTGTGACAACCGCTGGTTTACCGGCCTACCACACACGGACACTTGTCTTCTCCACACCTGCCTCAGCTTCGGAGCTGGATTGCGATTCTCAGCTGGAGTGGATCGTAGAGCTTTATCCCAAGGTGAGCTCTGACTCTCTCTCCCTCTCTCTTGCCATTTTTTTCTTCACTTCCTTTCTCTCTCTCTCTCTCTGTCTGTCTGTCTGTCTCTCTCTCTGGATGTATAATAAATTCAAATATGCATAAAGGAATATTTTTTAACCTGCACTTGTTTGTTGCTAAATAAGCATTCCCTTTCTTTCCTCTCAGGGTGTTTGGTTTCGTAAGTTTTATCTTATTGTGTGGCAAGGCACTGTTGAAGTGCCAGAGGCTGTACTGCGGACAGTGAGGCTAGCTGTCACAGCTAAGGACGTGGAGTATGCCAGAGTGCGGATTGCGGTGCTTGTCTTTGCTGTGCAGGATGGCATTGAGTACATTGTCAAGGTTGTCTCCACCAAGTACATCTTCTCGAGTGAAGACAACCTGCTCAACCTAGATGATATTCTTCCCTTTGACAGCCTGAATGACCCTGTGGTGAGTATGCTGCTGTATTTGAGGCAGTCAAGGTAGATTGTTAGAATTTTTGCTTGAAACTGATGTCACAGTAATGATAATAACAATAATAATAATAATAATAATAATAATAATAATAATAATGATAATGATAATATTAAGTATGATGAGGAGGACAATGATAATGATAATAGTGATAAAGATGAGGTGATGATAATATGATGATAATTGTAACTAGAAGCACTCAAAGAGTGCATAACTCCACCGAGGCAATAGGGTCACTGGTACAATAAGAATATTCACACTTTAAGAATTACTTTAAAAATTCTTTGATCTAGATCATGATCTGGATCACCACCAAAATTAATGGCATCTAAGTTGGGCTAAGACGCACCTTGGGTAAAAATTTCATAAAAATTTACATATAATTTTTTTATTTATGCTGCACAGGATCCAGATCATGTTCTGGATCACTACCGAAGTGGCACATAAGTTGGGCAAAGACACACCTCTGGTAAAAATTTAATAAAAACTGGTAAATAACTTTTTGAGTTATCCTGCAAACCATGTAATCAACTAACCAGTGTTGCCAAAAAGATAACCTCATCAGTGCCATAAGAGGTTCTATAAACCACATCTTTAATTCTTTATTTTTTAGGTTCTATGTAATCATTTGAACGAAAGAATAGTCATTGATCCTTGTAATTTGAGGAGAATGTATTATGAAATGGAGTAATATATAATGTAAATATATAAAAAGTACAATGATATGGTATTGATAAAGATGTAGTTAAGTGACTGAAGTGTATAGCACATATGGATTTATATGCATTCATGCTTATTTCTAAGTGTGTGTGTGTGTGTGTGTGTGTGTGTGTGTGTGTGTGTGTGTGTGTGTGTGTGTGTGTGTGTGTGTGTGTGTGTGTGTGTGTGTGTGTGTGTGGTGTGTGGTCTCTCTCTCTCTCTCTCTTAGATGTATGTGTTGGTGTGTGAGTATAGTATTTTTTTAATTATGAAACTTACTTATCTCTTGTTATTAATGGCATTATGCCTCATTTCTACCACCAACAGGAAAGACAAAGATACCTGCAGGAGCCGTGCGAGTCCCTCAAGATACACATAGTAATTAGTCCCCTGACGGACCCTAAGCTGTCTGCCGCGGGAATCACGTGATGAGAACACCCATGGGAATAGGAAGTGTTTTAGCCATTGTCTCATGTAGCATTTGTATGAAAATAAAATTTGTTAAGGTTTATTGCTGACAAACTTCAGGGCTGATAACCTAATGACAATAGGTGGTTAAGGCATTATATATATTTTCAGCAGATGCATGATTTCTGAAATGGCAAGTAAATGCCTGTTGAGATTAATAGAGGTTTACAGTTCTTTAGGTTTTCAAATATTCTGAGTGGCTTTTGAGTGACAGATGCTGTGATAGATTGGGATTTGCAACTTCCAATGTTCTTGAATTCTGATTCTGAGAAAAAAAGGGAAACAAAAAGGCAGACAATTGTTTATGCAAAACAAAAATATTAAGGACATGTTTATGCAATAAAGTTGTCAGGAAGTGAAATTTTTGCTGTGTTCAAGATTTTATGCATGGTTTTGTTACAAGAAGTAAGTGATATGGCATGTAGGGGATCTCTGAGTTAATCATGTTGCTCAATGTGTTCTGACTATGTTCTTGGGTCATATCTTTAAGTTTTGTTATATCGTGTTCTATTGATTTTTCGCTCTCTGTGTCAGTCTGTCTGTTTTGCTTTCTCTTGGTTTTATTATAATTACCATTACTTTTCTTCTTTTTGCCATTATTTGGGATTTTATTTTATTTTTTTGTCAAGTTTTCTTTTTTTTGTTATTTATATAGACTGCTGTATGTATATATTATTTTTGATGATAGGATTGAGGTTGCTATTTTTCTTATGGCATTTCAGTACATGTCGATTTTCTTCCATAGCTATGTAAAGAGCGAATTTAATTCCATTTACAAAAGGAATACTAATTTCTTTGAGTGTTTGTGTAAGTAAAAGGACCAGGTTGATTTGTTAATATTGGTGTAAGACAAAATGCATAAGCAATTTAAAAATGTGTAACTTGAATAAGTGGCTGTCTTTGGGTGACCTGGAAGAGGAAACTGTGATAAAAGGAAGCCAAAGACTCAAATGGCGATGCCCAAAAAGTGTTGGAAATCACCTCAATAATGGATGCTAGGTGGCACGAATCTCACATTCTGTACAAAAGTTATGCTCTCACATTATGTGGCTTATACCCACACTCTT